TAGGGAGTGGCATGTAGGTTACTCGTACGAAGCTCCAAAGTTCTCCCAAGGACACCGTGGAGCACCAACTTCCGTATATTTCTGTCGTCGCTATGTGCTCGGCCACGCCGATACGATTTGTTTATAGACATCTGTCAACACCCGGACACACGCTAGACCATCTCCTCTCTCGGCCCCACACAGATGGACCCGCCATCGGAATTCGAAGCATAATGACTCCACTGACTGAATTCCAATTTTTGCTAGAGGTGGGCAAAATCCGGATAATATAAAGGATAACAGGATAATTCTAAATGAAACATCATCCGAATTCAGACTCTTAACTCTCTTTCCTGACCCGTTAGCCAAAGTGGGTGCACCCATTTGTTGAAGTAGTGCTAACCCGTTTGTCGAAGTGGTTCAAACCCATTTGCCATAGCGGTTCACATCGTATTATTTGCCGAAGAGGTGCACTAACATATTATCCGGATTTTGCTAAAGCGACCCATTGCCCAGCCCTAATTTTTGCAACATGTAGGCTAGAAAAGCATAAGTATCACTACGAGGGACCAGTATTCATAAAACGACCGTGCCGTAAGTTCTAAACTCCACTCTCAGCTCACTGAAGGCTACATACCACAAATTGTTTTATTGTTTTACTACAGTAATATTTATGCTTCCCATCATGCCGGCGTCTGTGGTGTGGCGATTAGGCGCTTCGCCTGTGTACGCAGAAAACGTGAGTTCTATTCCTGTTAGGGGGGAGGGGGGATTTTTATCGAGTATCTCGATCTTTCTCCTGAGACCCTGTACCTGCTCAGCCAAGGTTGACACTGTCATCAGATAAAGTCAGCATTTTATCCAAAAATGGTCTTAATTGTGTCAATAGGCTCGTAAAAACACCGACATTATAAAAGAAGGTGTTGGTCTTCAGCGAACTCCATAGCCTTGGTCAAAAAAAATTCAATTGTATTCAATACGTTTAGCCCCCGATTCGCTGTCTAAATGCATTTTCAAAGAAACTGTATGGTAGCACGTATTGGTTTAATACCCAGTTTTCAACAAGGAAAGGCTACTTAAAAAAACAAGACATCCGATTCATCGACTGCCCCAGAAAAGGTAGAGCTAGTCAGGTGGAGAGCTAAGAAAAGTAAAATCAACCCACGTTCAAGAACAATTTGTTTGAGAATGGAACCAGAATCATGCAAATTGAAGCTCAGCGTACTATAAACTGAACGAATGAAACACCATCGCCGAGACGGGGAATACAATACTCCACACAGCTGTGTCTGTGTTTATCTTTGAGCATAGCACAGGTCAAATCACATAAACTATAAGAAAATTGGACAAACACACACACACCACTACCAAAAAACATAAAAGTATCCTCTAGATGTCTCCTTAAAAATGTTCAAAGAAATTGCCCAGCAGTTAAGATTCCCTGAAGGTCGCCACATATTTTTGGATGGGCTGTTTCCACGGATGTATATCTACATTTTGTAGCCGTACTGCTTGTCTAAGGGGAGAAAGATTACTTCTGTCAGTTTACCATTAATTTCGGAGGTGATAATTTGAAGTGAAGAAAATGTTTCACATTTACCAGCTTCCAGAATGTAAACACAGGTTAATGGCACGTGGAAATGTAGGCAGGTGAGCCAAGAAAGTGGGCTTCACAGGTAGTAGCTTTGCCGTTAGATGACTGACCCAGGTTTCACGATGCGCCAATTCATCTGTCATCGAGAGCGACCATATGCAGCTCTGTGACGCACTTTGACGATAGTGGTTTTTCCACAAACAGAGTCAATTGGAGGGGGGGGGGGGGTGTGTGAAGATGTGAGTGTAGGATTTTTTGGGAAAAAGTATTACAAGACAACCTCTTGTACAAACGACCACTTTCCACTCCCTCTCACCACCTCCCCCCCAAAAAAAAAACAAACAACCAACCCCCCCCCCCCCAAAACAAAACAAATAAACAAGAAGCAAACAAAAAACCAAACAACCAAACCAAACAACCTCGCCCCTTAAAAGTCCCCACTAAAAGTAAGCAAAACAATACCAGGCTCCGCGCAACGGTGACTTGAAATTGTATCTTTGTTTATATAATACTAGCTGGACCCCCTTTCTCTTAAAGGAATGATCGCTACTTTAACATCAACTGAAAGTCATTGGCCTACTATATTTACACTCTACTTGAATGGAGCAATAAATCTTGAGAGACACAAACAATTAGAAGGTCTAGATAATATAGAGATGTATAGTTGATTTTCTATTCCACTTTCGTGGTTGTACACCCCAGAATTTCAAAGTTGCGCACGGTTAGTGAACGGAAATTTCACCTGTTTACAATGGCGTCTTAGAAGACGGACTTTCCCAAGATTAGATCTAAACGGAACTAAAGAAAAACTGAAAATTAAACTTCAGTGACTTCAGGCTCCTCAATAAAACTGTGCACCTTATAAATTATTCTGAACCATCGTTAATTCTGTCAAATTCGAAAGTTAAGTGGTTGGGAAGTTTTAGGCGGCCAAAGTGACGAACTTTCACAAATATAATATGTATAGATATACGTATTGTGAGAGGGACTCTCGTGGCCTAGAGGTTACGGTGTTTGCCTCTCAGTCAATAGTTCCCGGGTTCGAAATCTGGCAGCAACTCTGGGTTCTTTACTCTTTCTGCAGCCTTTCTACTGTTACCCATAGGTTCCTTCTTACTGCTGTTTAACAGCCACACCCCTGATCTTATGGTAGGTAATATCTAACATCTTGCTTAAGCCTTCTCGGATAAGGGCGACAAATCTCGGTGGTGCAAATTGCGTACGTTAAAGATCCCTAGGTGGTTCTAATCGATGACTACATGTATAGGCTTCGGCCGCCACCCGGGATAAATTATAAATCCCTACCAAGCGGAAAATGTTTAATGAGTCCCGCGTGTTCATATGACCTTCCGCAGTTGCGAGCGCCGTAAAATACTAACCAAAACAAAACAAAACAAAACAGTGTGAAATAATGAGCCTAATAAGGTACTATACTTCATTATATATCCTATAAATGCACGATATTGTAACACACATTTTCTCACAGGTATGTATAAATACAAATAAAAATTTCCGGGTTTCTTTTTAGAGCCAATCTTTGAAAAAAAAGTTTGAATTTATCTACATTACATTTAAGCTGTCGAATCTGTAGTCCGACAGTGCTGTTTTGTTGTTTTGTTTCACTTTGGGTCAGTTTGCTTTTGGGGTTTAGCTGCGTATAATATGAACGTTTTATAAGGGTCAGGGACAGACAAAGAAAGAGAATGAGAGAGAGAGAGAAAGAGAGAGAGAGAGAGATAGAGATAGAGAGAGAGAGAGAGAGAGAGAGAGAGAAAGGGAGAGAAAGAGAGAGAGAGAGAGAGAGAGAGAGAGAGAGAGAGAGAGAGAGAGAGAGAGAGAGAGAGAGAGAGAGAGATTCTTCCAAAAGAGCGCTCTCTGCGGCCTGTCTGCAACAAGGACGGCTCATTTCCTCGTCAAAGAGCACAAAGCTCTGTGCTCGCGCGAAGCACATGATATGCATTTCCAATAGAAGAACAGAGGAGTGAACAGAGGAGTTGTGTACATGTATATATTATTGTATGGAATTTTATTTTGTTCGATATACGGATATAGCACTGAACTATTTCAGCTGATTGTCGACTAGAATGACCAGAAGTAGTTTTCTCGAGGGAGCTGACGAGAGAGAGAGAGAGAGAGAGAGAGAGAGAGAGAGAGAGAGAGAGAGAGAGAGAGAGAGAGAGAGAGAGAGAGAGAGAGAGAGAGTGAGTGAGAGAGAGAGAAGAGAGAGAGAGGAGAGAGAAAGAGAGAAAGAAAAAAGAAAGGAGAGATAGAGTGCCGGTCTGACAGACACATACCATACGTACACATAGAAACACAGATACACTTACACACGGACACAGACTGTCAGACACACATACACACACACACACACACACACACACACACACACACACACACACACACACACACACACAAACACGTACCATAAGAGGACCGAAGCAGGAGGTGAAGACGATCGTAACCCCCATGAGCATGACGACCATATGCATCTCCGCACAGCGCTGTACTAAGCTTCGCGGTCTCCGGACTCCCCCGTTCTGTGATGCCCCAAGCTCTCTCTGCCGCCGCCTCAAAGAAAGGACGGAAACAATAGCCACACAGTTACACAAAAAGGTCAACAGAATCGCCAAGAGCGAGATGATGCCGAAGAGATAGTTGTACACGATGTCCTCCGTATGTTTGCTGAGTAGATCGAGATAGCACCAGGTTGGAGGGAACTGGACTGCGTTACGACCAAAGCCCATAAGAGGCAGACTAGCCATGAAGGCGGCGAAAACCCAGGAAACACACAGCGAGTATCGAGCGTATGACTTCGGGAGCTTGCAGTGGTAGGTGTAAGGGTGGCACACGCAGATGTAGCGCTCTATCGCCATCGCGCAAACGACCAGCATTGTCGCGAATCCGGCGAATATCATCATAAAAGAGAAATAGTTGCAAAGAGCACCCACTTCTTTCATCAGTTTACCCGTGGCGTAAATACTGATCACTACCGGTGACGTCGCACAGGTTCCAAATAAATCCGTGACGGACAGACCCGCCATCAATTTGTAGAAAGTCGTGCGACGTTGCTCGATGGGCGACGTGGCCATGAGAACGAGGGCAAGGACGTTGCCTACTACACCACTTGCGAACATAAGTGAGGATACGAGTACCGTTTGGTTACGCAAGGCCTGGTTCATCTGAAAGACGGAGGCTATCGCAGCTGTGGCTTGCGACATGTTGCCATCGTCTGTGGTGATCACGTGGTTCAGAGTCGAGAGTGTCGTCTCATCCATCACGAGCATTACAGCAGAGATGAAATAGATGAACAAAGAGGTGGAAGGAAGCTTTGCGCTATTCCTAATATTATTCCTTGTTTAAAAACCTAGCCTCATAGTTTCAAGCAAAAGCGTCTCCACTTGTATGAATTAACAGAACGATTCCGTGTGAATTGCAACTACACTTAGTGTTTTGAATAGCCCCAAAGAAAATTCCAGGCGTATGTATACTTTTTTTTTCTTTAAAACTATAACACTGGTCTCAAAGGAAACTTCCGGGAGGCATAAATGAATCAACGTGCTATCACTCCCTGCTTCACACAGAATACACATTGAAAAATGTTCTTCCCTTATATTCCCTTGTTAGAAAGACACCACATTGGTCAGAAGTGCTTATGACCTTTTAGAAGACGGCTATCGAAATACATTTTGCAGTTCCTCCAAACTGTATAAAAATATCACTTTATACGACAACATGATATGATCGCATCCATACCTGTCAACCTGTCAAGTCAAGAGAAGTATTATCGCAAATTGTCGAGCTGCAATTCTGATTTTCATAAAATAATTTTATTGTCTTGATCCAAAAACTAGACAGGATCTAAAAAGAACCGTTTTAGCAACTTTATAACAAGGTAACAAACGGTCTCACAGAACTTGATGAGCAACCCAGGATATCACTGTTTCACCATACAACATGAAGGAAGGACCCTCCGAACACTGGCAACATCAACATTTGTGGATAAACTTCGGGGCATTTAGCAACCCCACTGGCAGCCTTGACAGACCGGATACAGAAGTAAAGTAGGGCAGGGTTATTCTTCAATTCGAAACTCTGTCAGGGGGAACTTAGTCTCACTTTTGCGTTGACTACCACGCTGATTACTGCCATACTTTTCTCTTAAACATATTTCACCAACACGCTGTTCTTAGACTATTTCACAAACACTTTTCTCTAAGACTTATTTCACAAACACTTTGCTCTTAGACTTTATTTAACTCAACAGCAGGTTGAGGCCCAACACTTTATTTTAGACTTGCTTCACTAACAATTTGCACTGCGATTTATTTCATCAAACGGTTGAGTCTCGGAATAACGAAATCCGTTGATATCCGTAGTCTTAAATGAAGGAACAAAAACATAACCACAAATCCGATCTATCAGCCTCGGAAACTAGCGTCTTGTCAAGAGCTGTTATCCCCAACACTCATTCCAGCATGTTAAAGAATGCCGTGACAGACAAAAGACGAGCGATACAATCAGTGCGGTTTATCCTGTGGACGAGTGAGCCAGTGGTCAAGGGGTCAGTTCTTCTTTGTGATTGCTGCACAGATGTCACGAGGGCTTACACCAGTCAGGGATTTGTGTTCTCGCCTCCCAGGTCCTGAAAGAGAAGAGTAAAGAAAAGAAATCAATAGATTATAGCAGGGAACAGCAAGTTTAAATGGTAGGGTGGGTGGGGATGAGGGGCAAAGACGGGGTGCCCCTTAGACGATGTATTAAGTTCAGAGGGAGTGCAAGTGATTTATATCGGTTTCAGATAACGCGCGTTAATAGCGGAAATGTTGTATAATGAAAAAAAAAAACCAACAAAAAAACCAACAAACAAGCATGGGATTTTATCAGTATAAGGACGGTCCAGGCCACATTAAAGGGTGCGGTTTTCGAGACAGGACAAAGTGTTAGAGGCTCAAGCAACGAACAAACACAACCTCACCATAGAAGCAAACAAACTGAGGAAGAGGAAAAGAAAACTCGCCAGAACAGAAAAAAAACTGGAACTACAGAGGAGGCACCAACCCCCAAACAAACAAACAAACAAACAAACAAACAAACAAACAAACAAGCAAACAGACACACACACACAAACCAAACCTCACTATAGAAGCAAACAAACTGAGGAAGAGAAAAAGAAAACTCGCCAGAACAGAAAAAAAACTGGAACTACAGAAGAGGCACCAACCCCCAAACAAACAAACAAACAAACAAACAAACAAACAAACAAGCAAACAAACAGACACACACACACAAACAAAACCTAACATGTTGAGGTGTTTATCTTTATCTTGTTGCTACGTGTAAAGACAAAAAAGATAAATAGATCAAGCATAATGAATGGAAGAAAGCGATACAAACAAAATTCAGGTCTATAATAAGTAGGAAGGCAGACAGGCTGACCTATGCATAAACCAAAAGGTCAATAAACCGTTTGGCGAACAGATTGAGGGATACATTGATTGTTGGACAGGATGCTGGCTAGACAGCTAATGGTGATCATCAAATAGAGACAAATGAATATTTTAGTCAAAGAAAAATGTGCCAAGTAATATTCAGAAATAAACACCCCTGCTCTAGCATGGGATTTGGAGCTCTAAATTATTTCACTCCCAGTTCTGAAAGCACAGGTAAGAAATGCATACAAATCATTGATGACATGCAGCATTTTTTGTATGTGTTTTACGGCGCTCGCAACTGCATAAGGCCAAATGAGCCCACGGGACACACCAAACATTTTCTGTTGGTCAGAAATTTTGAATATTGCCCGGGTGGCGGCCAAAGCCTACTCTCATCGCTTTTGGACCACCAAGGGATCTTTAACGTGCGCAACTCGCACACGGGACCTGAGAGATTTTTTACCCATTTTGGAGAATGCTAGGTGTAGATTTTACCTACCATAAGATCAGGGGTGTGGCTGAGAGACAGCAGTAAGAAGAAGCCAAAGAGTAGCAGTAGAAAGGCCGCAGAAAGAGTCAGGAGCCCTGAGAAGGGAGCAAAGGAGGTAGGGGGGTGGGGGCTGAAAGTGGAGACGAAAACAGAGGACAAAAAATTGTTAGGGAGCAGGAAAGGAGGGGAAAGGTGAACATTTTTTAGCAGAAAATTTTCCGTCGCTATCCGGATTCGAACCCGGGACCTATTGAATGAGATGCGAACAGCTTAACCTCTAAACCACAAGAGCCCCCATGTAGCATTTGAAACAGTTTCTTAGAGAGATGCATGTCACACAACAGTTGGAGTAGTTATGCCATCATTTTTAAAAAGTACAGTAGCCTATAAGCAGTTTATACAAATTGACAGAAGGGCTAAAAAAAAGAATAAGAACAACAACCCCCCCCCCCCCTAAAAAAAACCCAACAGACAAACAACCAAACGAAAAACTAAATGTTGTTACCATAAAACCTCCAGAGTCAATATTTTTAAGAATATAATTTTGATATAACTTCCTTATCATTTTAAAAGTAATATTAAAGGTTGTTCTCTTGGTAACAACATTCAGGTTTTTGGCTCTCCAGTAAAATTGAAGACTGCATTATACTGTTCTTTTAAAAATGACGTCAGAAATGCGCTTATCTAACTAGTCAAGTTGTCGCCTCACTTCCTGCTTGGCTGCTTGCGCAATGCATAGAATATTTTTTTTAAGTCACCGCACAAAAAGAGCAAGGCATATCCGAACAATGGGCGAACATTTGAAGGTCAGGGTTTCCGGATCTACGAAATAACGCGTGTTTTTTCACAACTGTGATGTGTAACGCCAAAACGTTGGACGTGGGACCCTTTTAAAATATTAAATAGATGTCTCGCTTCGGTTGATTAAATAAAAAAAATCTCGCTACAGAATTATTAAGTTATTTTGAATCGACGGGTGATAATTACATTAGCATATTATTCTTACTTTGTAGGTGGTTTTTGTTTTGCTGCCTGATCAGATGAGTGGGAAGAAGACAACAGGGGGGAAAAAAGCACCCCAAAATACAGATCAAGGGGAGGGGGGAGGGGAAGGGGGAAGGGGAAGGGGTAGAGGGGAAGGGGGAAGGGGAACGGGTAGAGGGGAAGGAGAAAGAGAGAATGAATGTGTGTGTGTTCCTGTGCGTGTGCGTGTGTGTGTGTGTGTGTGTGTGTGTGTGTGTGTGTGTGTGCATGTGTGTATGCATGTGTGCGTGTGGGGGGGGGGGGCGAGCGAGCGAGCGAGAGAGAGAGAGAGAGAGAGAGAGAGAGAGAGAGAGAGAGAGAGAGAGAGAGAGAGAGAGAGAGAGAGAGTAAGAGAGAAGAGAGGGAGAAAAACAGATATTAATTTATAGTCGTCCTACTGAATTTGCATCATTAAAAATGTCCTTTGCACTCAGTGACACAAATAACTATTCTTATTTGGAGAAGCCAACTTAACCCCCCCCCCCAAAAAAAAAAATGCAATCAGCAAATGCAATAAAGGCTAATCTGGCCCTTCCCTTAAGGGTCCTATGACATATACGAAAAGGACTGCGTAGGTGGAGGGCCAACGATAAGAGATTCAAGAAGACATTTCTTTAAAAATCTTGCTTCGTAACCTTTATCATCAAAAATTGTAATTGAATCCAAATCTGATTGTACAAAATCTGTCTTTGTTCGTTTGTTTCTTTGTCTTTCTAGAAAAAGCCCTCAAACCTAAAAGCACAATAGAACTAGAGTACAATTAATTACAGCCCATGTAGCCTTACCTGGCTCTGAGGATCAGCAATGGGTCATGGAGTCAAAGAAGTGTAACGATTTTTGCGTACGAGTAGATTGTGCTTTGTCACTACTGTCATATAAACCCTATCCTTTTTTTTTGTAACACATACATGACGTAGTATACTCTTGGGATTCTTCATAAAATCATCTATCTGTCAATTCGCCCCCCCCCCCCCTGTTTAATTGTGAAAGGAAAATCAGGAGCGAGGGAATAAAGACTACTTAATGCGAGTAAAGGTATAACTTGGAATTGCAATAAAGAGGTTGTGGGTGCTATTCCCGTCTCCTTCTTATAAGAACAGAACCTTTGATAAAGATCATTAAGTGTCTCGATGTCACTAAATGGAATTTTAAAGAAAGGTTTGTTTTTAAAAGGGGATAGGGGTGAGGGTGGGGGTATCATTTAACATCCCGCATCCACCACTATATAAAAAAAACAACCAATCCACCCCCCCCCCAAAAAAAAAAAAGAAAAAAGAAAGAAAGAAAAAAAAAGAGAAAGTTACTAGTAAAGTAATCGCATGAGTGTCCCTAATACAGCTCAACGTGTGGAAGTTAATCTGAATCATAGCATTTCGTGTTTTTAACATTTTAGTGAGAGTTTTACAGCATTAGCAACCCAAGTTTGTGAAATAAGAGCCGACGAGTAGAGACGTTACTAGAGTGTAACAATACACAGACAAGAAGGAGGAGAGATAAGGACGATAAATTTTTGATACGAAAGAAGGAGCAAACCACAGCAGAGCACCCGATAAGCACGTACAAAACACCCGTGTCTTAGAAAGGCCACCGGTTTTTTAAAGAGTTATCAATATAATTATCTCCCACAGGTTACTGTCCGATCAATAATTTTGTTGAGAAATTCTATAAGTAAGTAAACCAAAGACCAAAGACAGGAGAAGGGCACAAAACCCCCAACCCCTGCACCACCACCCCCCACAACCCC